AGACAGGCAAGAAAATGGCTGCTGAGGAGGATGTGCATGGCGCAGAGAGAGGGCTAAAGAAGGTGGGCCGGTGCAGAGAGCTACATGCTTGAGTGGCCACGGCATCGGAAATCATTTAATCTGCATCATGCAGTTTAGTGTCGCTACCAGTGACCTGACAGCCCGAAGAGCTGATCCTACACTCCTCATACTATGTATAGTAATGCATAGTACGGAAAGCAAGCGGCGCCCTTATCAGCAAATAAAGAGGCCTAAACTGTCATTGCGTCGTCGTCCTTTACCCTCTTTCGTCTCCTGTTTCACGTCAGCAACCTCAGCGCTTCAGAGAAAGGCCATTTTCAGGGGACAAGATAATATCACCCTTTCAATTTATTGCAACTGATAGCACAATGGAGAGTCAGAATGAGTGTTTTTTTTTTTTTTTAAAGTGGGGGGAAAACTGCTTGAAACGCAAGATATGTGAATCAAGCATTTGCAGCAAAAAGATCAGATATGCAGTTTCCCACAGTACTATTTATATATTCCATCTGCATAGGGTAGAGAGGGCAAATACACAGAGGAAGAGTCAATAAGACCACAATCCCGGACCGAAAGACCCTCAGAGTGGAATTCTATCTGGTATTTGTTGGAGGCGAGCATGGATGCAATGAGAGGCTGAGAGCAGCTCCTAGAATTACTCCTGTGTACGCTCTCAGAGTATAGATCCTAGCAGGAAAAAGGAGGGGTTGGGGGAATGTAGGAAGGTGGGGGGGGGGCAATACGCAGAGCACTGAGGTGGAACAGAGCCCATCATGTGAGCTCACTAGCTAGCCGACTCGAAAATCCCTCACCCTCCTGCATAGAAGATGAATCTACTTCTTCAGCACCTGTGAACACCTTTTTATTTCACAGCCTGTGTCGTCCCTGTGAGCATTTCTGTGGTGTGTATAGATATATACATATATATATATATATATATATATATATATATATATATATATATTCCGGGCTGTACCTGGTGGCTGCCTGCACGTGGTGGGCTTGGATGAGCTCCAGTGGGTGCAGCAGGTTTGTCCTTAGTGACACCTCACCCAGATGAGCTGTATCTCTGGTATTGGGCCACACCGGAGGCCGTGTACTGCGACGCCGCTGACAGCGCGGCGTAAAGAAGATGGATCCGGGGGGCAGAACGGGCCGCTCGCAAGTGACACGGCAGGCCGGTGCAGAGGCGAGGGCGGACAGTTACATCATTCCATTGCCTCCCCCAGTTTCCCCCCAAGCCGCTCACTCACATTTCCCTTCTGACGACATGATGGATGTGACTCACCCTCGCAGTGCAGGAGGGGGACAAGAAGCACGTGCAGGCGACTCAGATATTGGGAGGGAGAGGCACAGATATCTAAGGAGGTGGTGGGAGGTTGAGAAGAAGCTGAGAGAGGCAGCAGGAAAACATTGATCTCATGCATAGTTCATTCCTTTTGAACATTTCTTTGAGGTTTTCAGGGGGGGGTTGTACAATGTCATATTCGCTGAGTTTGCTGGGTTTCAGCATTTTTTGCATTTAATGCCATTTCACTATCCACATTACGGTGTCGGTGCATCTTGGCTTGGGCCTTGATCTTCGTGTTTGATGTTTATGGAGCCTCAGTGACTGGAACTTTTTGCCTCGGCCTAAGGTTGCCGTTGGTTACCTGTGATCAGCGTAGACGTCTGTTGGCAGAATAACTAATATCTCTTTGGGGAGCCCTTCCTTTTATGCTCTGGCTGAGACTGGTGTGGGTATTGATTTGGTTGGTGGGGCAGAATTTCTCTTGGGAGCTAATAAAAATAATTACAAAAAGATTATGAAAGGCCTGACCTTCTGTTGCACACATGAATAAATATGTGAGAGGAATAGTAGAAAAGAGACTTTCTATGTGTGTGGTCATTGGAATATGAGGGGATAACAAGCTGTTTGACGGCTAAAGTGGTGTTTGTATACCAAATGATTGTTTTACTGTGTTAAACATTTCTGTCTTTATGTATGTCTGAATAATAGATTTATAGTGTGTACATAAAAAAACATAACCGAGTGAGACAAAACGCTGTAAAACCTCTTGGATAGCTGCATCGCAAAATTGCATTGGATGGCAGTGAAGCTGACATAATTCGAATGAAAGAAAAGGCAGAGAGGAATAAGCTCCTGGTTCAGTAATCCCTCTCTGATTTCTTCACGTCTGTGAGCTTGTTTGTTTGTTCGCTGGTTCCTGCTTTCCTGCAGGAGAGGATGACTGCACAGCAGTGGTGAAAAGTAATGGTGGTGTTATTGCAGGAGGGAGGGGGACACAGCATTTTGATTGGAGCGTGTGCCCCGAGACCCAGTGAAGTGCACTCGCCTCAGCTCAGAGAGCACTCGATCGCACAGCACCGATGATCGTATTAAAAGGGCAACAGAAAGCCCATTTACCGTAAAGAGAGTGAGAAAAGGGGCCCCGAAATTGACATTCGGCTTTTGTTAGGAGTTACGGACGGAGCTGCGTGGATAGGTTTCTTATTCGATGTCCGCAGGACGTGGGAGCTCCATGCGATTCTGATACTACAACAGGAATGAAGTTAGAAACATTTGAATTTGTGCTTTTGAAAGTTGTTTCGAAAAAACACACGCGGTTTGATTGAGGTTTTCACGTAGTGAGATTGATGTGTGATTGATTTTTTTTTTTTAAACATATGGCACATGGGTGTACCTTTTAACCTTTCCAACCCTTCACCTGACTACCTCCACTACTTTAGAACACTGACCAGTCGCGTCTGGCCCTCTGTGAACCCGTGCACAGCTTTTCCTGGCAGCGAAAGAACAATTGTAGGCATCTGCTGTTTTCATCTCCACCGGAAAGAGGAGAGCAGATGGAGACCCGTGGTTTAAGTGATTAGAAGGCAGTAGATTGGAATACAAATTGGATTTAAAGAAATTAGACTGATATAAATCGAATGGAGTCGCCGCAGTTTAGTGCTGTGTGTGCACATTGGCCTTAGTGGAAAGCCACCGCGAGGCCTGCGGATTATGCGAGAAGCAGATGCTCCAATGAGATAAGAATAAATGTGCGTTTGACACTTCATCTGAGGGAGACGCGGGTCTCCATGTCGGTCTTTTATCTTGCCCCCCATTTATCAATGTCACAGTGTTAATTACTGCTCCCCTTATTGGGTCACTTACTCCCAGAATACAAACTGGCGCCTGTGCTGGAGGAGTAACTGACTTGCTTTGTTGCTCTTACCTACAACTGGTGAAGAGATGGGCTCGAAATTGCCTTCAGTGTACTGTAGTTTTTTTTTTTTTTTTTACTTCCTCCACCACAGTTTTTCCCCATAATACACAAATGAGATTAAATAAAGCACTTGGGGATCAGGATATCATCCCCCCCCCCCCTCTACCACAAACCCCTGTCTCTGGCCCCACTTAGAGGAAGACACTAGGCCTGATCACTAATCAATGACAGGGAAATGGGAGGAATTAGCCCAAATTAGGAAGAAGAGAGCACAGGCTGCCTCCTGTTCAGGGGTCAATATGGCACTGTGTGAAGTGTGATCCCTGTTAAGACAAATTGTGTCTTTGAAGTCTATTTTGTGCTGATCAGTAGTTTGACTCACAGACTCTAAAAAAACAAAAAAATGGCCGGGGTGCAGATTCAGGTTTAAGGCGTAGTGGCGTACATGTGCAAACCCAGGCAAACAAAGAGCTGATTTGCCCTCAGCCCATGTTGAAGTTTAGCCCTTACATAAGCACAAAGGCCTGCTCCTCTGTGCAGCAAGTATCGTTCTATTACCCCACTGCACTGCCCCCCCCCCCCTGGTAAGGGCACAGTCGTCAACTCAGAAATGCACACCTGCAACAACTCATTTTAGGACAAGAAGCGCAGCACTCGATACAGCACTTACTGATTAGCACGTGGCTGTCGACCGAATGTGAGGTACTTATGGTGTACTGAATCCGGTTTAGAAGAGGAAACAGGACGGGCTAGTAGAAAAGTTATCCTCATTTCCCATTTCTCTTTACCGTATGTTTGATGTGGGATCAACGTCTTTGATTGTTGCATGGTTCCCAAGGCCTCTGTGATGTTAATGTGTGTGGCCTGCAGCATCTTATCTCCGCGCTAAAGACTCGGTCACGGACAAACAGAGCACTTTGACTTGGGGGACCATTATCTTAGCTGCCAGACCCTCACCCACTGCTAGCACTACTAAAAGAGGAGCGGGCGAAGATTTTTGAGCCGAGAGGGATTAGCATTTGACATGAGGCTGGACCCCGGCATTCATATTCACATCACATGTGCACTTCCACAACAGTGGCGTCAACATGGCAACGTTTTACTAAATGGCACCTCACTGAAAGCCCAATATGTGATGTTTGTGTTTGTGGATAGCTCAGATGGCAGCTGACTCTATGCGTCCATTCACTGCTCACCCATGGGTCCAATTACCCACAAGGCAAGACCTTGCAATATCGGGTTGCGAAGAGCAGATTGCGGCTTTTTGGCTTGAAAAGGAGATAAAAGGGTCCAATATTTTCAATTTAGCTTTGAACCCAAGACTAGCGTTGGTAACTATGAGTTGGAGTCATTCATTCATTTTCCAACACTTTGCCAAGCCTGTGGGGCGGTGGCAGCAAGCAAAGAAAAATAACTCTGATTTCCATCTTCCAATAAATTTTCATTTTGGCTAGTAGTAGTTATATCAAAGTTATTTTTTTATTTTGCTCTGCGTTTTCTTATTTTCAGTGGGATTGTGTTCAAATGTAGGCTTACGTGTGCTGTAAGGCATTCAGATCATCATTTTTTTATAAATATACACATACTGTATTTTCTTCTTTGGTACCTCGATCCCCTTAAGATGATTTCAGCTACTTTTAGTTGTATAAACAAATTCAATCCCTACACCGTCCCTGTTTTCCAAACAGTGTAGCTGCTAGAAATTACGTCAATAAGAGATGCCTTTGACCTGAAATGAAACAATGATTGATTGCATCTCCTCTTCTTTTCCTCCAGGATCCCGTCTGCGCCAAGAGGACTCCGCACCCCGGATCGTGGAGCACCCCTCTGACCTGATCGTCTCCAAGGGGGAGCCCGCCACGCTCAACTGCAAAGCGGAGGGGCGGCCGACCCCGACGGTGGAGTGGCACAAGGATGGCGAGCGGGTGGAAACGGACAAAGATGACCCGCGCTCCCATCGCATGCTGCTGCCCAGCGGCTCGCTCTTCTTCCTTCGCATCGTTCACGGACGGCGGAGCAAACCGGACGAGGGGGCCTACGTCTGCGTGGCCCGGAACTACCTGGGAGAGGCCGTCAGCCGCAACGCGTCGTTAGAAGTAGCATGTGAGTCACGGCTGGGTCCCCCCTCTTTCTTCTTCATTTCTCCCCTTTTGCTCATTTTATTCAGTTCATTCGTCGGCCAGGTGAAGAAAAGTCTGGATCGTCCTGCTTCCGAATGATGGAAAGAGTTGATTTACAGAGATATTTTTTTCAACCTTTCCTGTCAGCGTTATCAAATTACTTCTTTCACTTATACACAATGTAAAATGTAATCATTTTTGCTGTAGAGAATAACAGAAAACAAATCAGTAGCATTGGTCAATTTTAAGAATTGACTTCAAATTGCCTCCCGTGTGCTCTCGTAGCAAAGGCTGAAATCATTTCCTGCAGGTGCGGATGGAACACTGAAGACAGTCACATTCTGTGTGACGTTGCTTGAATGAATCAGTTCAGTCCACAATGAGTTCTGCAGACATCACTTGAGATACATTTAATGTATTTTAAAACTTGATTTATTGTGGTCGTAAACCTTTGAGTTGGACATAAAACTACACACACCGTGCGAGAGGGACGTGATGGTTTTTGGAGATGTGGGGCGAGTCTCACAGGTGTGTGGGGGCAGATCAAAGTCCTGAAGGATATTTGATTGACAAGCTGCCTGGACTGTGTTGGGGAACACTGACGGGCAGAACCTGAGCTGTGGATCAAATGACCTTTGAAGATGAGCACCACCCCCCCCCAGCAGGAGGCTCAGGCTGGACTTCCTTGCCCTCATGTTGTTTCAAGTGGTGGTTCTTCGGGTAACATAGGCCTGTGTTTCCAAGCGGTGTCGTGTTCAGCCATAATCCTTCCGTCACACCGAACATAAAGTGGCTGCTAATTAAATGTTTGAAGATGATTTGAATGGGGAAAAATAGAAGACACGCTATCTTGCATGTCATTAAACGGACCTGAAACCGTATTTCAAAGCTGATTACAATGATCAGTGGTATTAGAACGGGTTGTTTTGTGATCCTGGGGAAATGACTTTGTGTTAGATAGGAGGGGGCCGGTCTCCGCCTCTGATCCAGGCCCCTGCCCTTCTGAGGGGCCTCCCAGCAGCCCCCAGGTGCTAACTGCGTGACAGCAGCTTGATCTATCGATCGCTGTAAGAGGGCTCTCCCATTCTAAATGAAAATTCATGAAAAATTAATGACGTCCTCAGATTATTTTATTCCCCCCACCCTCTCATACTGTTTTCAGCCTTTCCCTTCAGTACTCTCTCTATCTCTCCCTGTCTCATGTGATGTGGGTTGTGCTCAAAGGTGAGGGGAGATGGGTCAGGAGGGCGGACGAGGGGATATGGAAGAGATCACAAGGTGAAGAAATAAGAGCACGCGTTCCATTGGTAGTATAAGTGAAACTAGGTTTGAGAGAGGGGTAGGGTTAGGGTTAGGCCATACTCTGAGTAAACAAGGACACAGAACTGTACCTTGTACTTCGCTTTACAATGCCATTTTGACCAACAGAAAAGTGCACACCCTTTACTAAAGCAAAACAATTCAAAACTTTGATTCTGGCACTTATCATCGGGCACAAAATATTTGTGCCCAAATTTCATTAAAAGAGAAGCCTTCATTGACTCTACATTACCTTCTGCCGTTGCCACTATTGACCCGACCTGACCTGAAACACCCGCAGTGTGAGAACGGCAGCAGTCTGCCTGAGGTGGAGCGTGGGTGTAGCAAAGGGTGTTGCTGGCAGGTCAAGTGCAGTTCAATAGGGACAATGTATTGTAGCCGTGTAAAAGTGGTCATATAAATGATTTTATTATGAGCATATCAAATCCCCCGGAGGCACTTTTGAGTAAATTGTGGAGATGAGGAGAAAGAGAGGAGTTTGAAATATATTTATATATAATAAATAATTCAAGGGATATTGAGGAGAAAATGTCCTACAGCTGATATTCAGGACTTGTGTCTGAACTGAACCAATCAAGTGTGAGACCTAAGATGCTATTCTGGACAGAATCCATCTCATTTCATTGGTGTAATGCCCCCCACCCTACTTCTATGTTCTATAGACTGTTGTGTCTTTTACATGATGTTCAAAACATACTTTTCATATTATTAGAATATATATTATATCTAACAATAATCATCTATTATACATACACACTTTGTATTTTTGTTCTCCCAGAAATCATATATCCCAAAAGGAGGGAGGGCCATTTTATGAAGCGTTCCATCCCCTTTTTTTTCTTGGCCCTGAGCTTTCTCGGATTTCTCTTTTAGCCAGGTCTTTAGGGAGGGGGGTGGGTGGGGGGGGCTTGGGAAGCAGCAGAAGGAGATGGGGTGCTAAACCCCCCTACATTTACATTCGCTTAACTCGGTGATTAGCTTTATCAGGTCCCAACATCCGTCTAGTGATTGTAATTCCACAGCTAATCGCACCAGAAGAAGCAGAATTTAAATCTATACTCACGTTGAACCGGGCTTGTGTGTATGATATGTCCCCCCCCCCCCCCTCCCCCCGCTTGTCCTATATCCCTCCCTCCCTCCCTCCCCTCGTATTGAACACACCTTTGCCCCCCTTCCGTTCACGAGTGGTTGAGCAGGACCCCGGTGAGATAATTCAATCGCAGCCCTGAAACAGATTGAACTCGGTGTCCGCTGAGCGAAGCGGCACTGCTGCATGCTGGACATCAAGCTGGGCAGCACTCAGCACTCTCTCCGATGGAGCAGGAAAGGTGGAGTAGAGAGGAAGAGGGGGAAGAGGCCTCCGAGAGGCACCTCTGCATTATTAATGCAGGCCAGATTGGGGGGGGGGCTTTTGTCGTTACCGGGCTAAATCTTTTTCTAACAAGTCTCCTTTTAGTGTTTTGTCGATGCTGAACACACATTGTTCACAAATGAATACACCAGAGCGTGAACTGCGTTGTGTTGTTGAAGTCCATTGTACATGTGCGAGGTGTGAGTATGATGCTGTTGCGTCACCTCGCTGCATTTGGGGACATATTTAATCATAGGTGTCACTGTCCTGCACGTGAGGAGATAGAGAACTTGCAAACATGTTGCCTCGAGGGTATCAGAGCATGTCTTGGCGGTAATCTTGCTCTGTCTCCTAAGCTCTTCAAAACCGCCTGCAGCCCAGCTCCATCGGATGGACGCGCCACATAAAGTATACTAGGGGATGTGCCCCCTTTTCTTTTTTTGAGAGTAAACTAGGTCCATGAGCAGGTTCATTAATCATTGTGTCAAAAATGCTAGCTGCAGCAACCGCTGCTGAATAAATTGCTAGCGCTGCAGATATCTGTGTATATGTACGCGTGGCAAGGCGCACCTGGGGGCGATAGGATTCCGAGGGAAATGCTAATTAGCCCCATCTTTTCAGGTGGAAAGGGTAGGTGGTGCTCCAAGTATGCGTGGAGCAGTTTTAATCTGGTGCCACATGTGACTCTGGCCCTGTGACGTGTACAGTCGGCACGTGTGTATTCATTTCACGTAAACGTGCAAAAGAAACCAACACACTTATCTTGAGGCGTAGAACTGCATCCTTTGCGGCTTTGCTCAGTCTGTAACCTTTATTTATGCAAATGAAACAGGAATGAAACAGATGTCTCGGGTTGGTTCTAAATGCCGCTTAGAATGGGATTGGATGACTTTTAAAAAGGTCCTTTGATATCATCTAATGTACCACTTCTGCAATTAAGTCAATCGTTAGGTAGCATTTGGTGCTCGTACAACAAGGTGATTAGAAGGAAAATGGAGTTGGGAGAGGTGTGAGTGGTGGAGAGAGGAGGAGGAGGAGGAGGAGGAGGGTTCCAAGCTGTTGCTGTTGTGTCCAGCATGAGGGGAAGCTAATAAAGGGACAGGCCAGGAGGAGCGGGCCAGGTGGGGAGTCAGGCTGAGCCGCGCTGCCTGAGCCTTTCACAAGCTCATCTGGACTCATTATTCCCTTTTCTGAAATGAGAAAATGGAGTGACAAGTGCGCACAGACAACAGACGCCCGCACAGTCTCACACGGAGGCGGACACAAACACCTGCCCTCGCACGAGCCCCGGTAGGCTGAGGTTTAATCTGCGCCAAAGTCCTTGAGAAATAATGAAGGGTAATGAAGAAAGCTGCAACAATGCAGCCATTACAGCTCACATTAATGACACATGCTGTGGTTAGGAAATGAAGCGGAGCATTTGTATTTTGATAAGTCAATGTACAGCTTGTTTATGATGTGTGGACGACTGGCACACAGAGGTGAGGTGGGCAATCATTGCACCCATAGATCTCATAGCACCTTTGAAACACCCACTTTACAGATTGGAGAATCGGAGGGGTGCTGGGTACTTAAACAGGAAAAATAAATCGGTCTATTGGTACATCGTGATGAAGGTGGCCATGTTCAGTGCAGGAAGAAGTAGCTTAAAAAAGTATGCAGGAAAGGTGCCAATGTGGTCCTGCGATAAAAGAGATGGTGAGAGCAGGCAAGGGTGTGAGAAATATCCTCCCACTGATAAACTGTGAGAGAGGAGAAATCCCTTTATTAAATGTGTCAGCTCTGTGTCTGTGCAGCTGGAGTTTGCTGACCTCTGTAAAAAGGTGTTGTTATCTATTGGGATTGACTCACACAGTGTCCACACATGCTCACACACACACACACACACACACACACACACACGGGCGCGCTGTGCTCGGCGGCCATATACAGCAGCACGCAGATTGCCTCGCTTGTTTATTTAGCTACAGATGGCCAAGAGAGAGCGAGGAGTTTCCTGCCACAGTCCCACTGCTGTGAGACAGGCCTGCAGAAATGGAACAGGTATTTGGAAAACTCTCGTGGGGAAATAAATCATAGGAATACACTGCAGTCACAACCAGCACTCTGACCTTTCACTGTAACACACACACACAAGTCCTGAGACTGCACTTTTACTATCCACAGCGGGCCTCGTGTCCCAGCTCTGACCTCCCCAACTGCACCAAGGGAAATAGTCTGTCTGCGTTGGCTTCTACCCTTCGGGGTCGACTGCTGCAGTGAAGATGGGAAATAAAGCATGATGGCAGCAATAATTGAGCGCTGCAGCAAGA